ATAACCTGAGCTAGTGTAATAGTGCTTAGGGCTTTGGCTTCTACCCATTTGGAGAAGTGATCAATTGCGACTACCATGAACTTCCTTTGCCTAGTTATTGCAGAAAAATGCCCTAGAATGTCTATCCCCTATTGAGCAAAAGGCCAGGCTAAACCTAAAGGTTGTAGTTCTGAGAAGGGTTTTCCAGGAATCCGATCATATCTTTGGCAAGCATTACAATGGCGAACGTGTTGGCGAACATTTTTCTTCATAGTTGGTTAGTAGTATTCTAATAGTAGAATCTTTCAAAGTATAGCATACGAGCCCTCATATGCCCCACAGACACCTTCATGAGTCTCCCTTATGATATAATTCCCCTCTTCTTCGGTTACACAATTTGCCCAAGGGTGTGATTTTGATCTCCTGTAGAGTTCTCCATTTACAATTGCATAGTTCGTCGCTTTTTTGCAAAGTTTGATCGCCTCTTGTTTATCACTTGGTCGAATATCATTCTGTAAGAAATCAACGATTAGACTCATCCAACTGTTGTTAGGTTGGGATACCAGGACTTCTCTTATCTCATAGCTAGGGCAAGTTTTGTGTTCAATCATTACTTCTCATAGCTAGAGCGTACTGAATTTTATCCTCTCTGGCCCTTATAGGATTACCCCTGCTATTGCTCCTGAGCTCCCTAGGGCCCCATCTGTGTGCAACTTCCAAGTATTATAATTGGGGCTCAGTTGTTCGGCTTCATGCTCACCCTTCTCTTCTTCGCTAGAAAACTCGGTTACAAAGTCTGCAAGTACTTGTGCCTTCATTGAGGTATGAGGGGCGTATTTGATATTAAATTCTCCGAAACTGATCAATCATTCCACCAATCTCCCAGAAGTTTTGGCTCGGTGTAGGATCTTTTTCAGGGGGTGGTTAGTTCGAAAGATGATAGTGTGAAATTGGAAGTAGTGGCGCAACCAGTTTGCCAAAGTCAGGATTGCGAACCCTAACTTTTCAATATTTGGGTACTGTAACTCGAAACCCCTAAGGACTTTGCTAATGTAATAAATCGGGTACTACTTGCCCTCTTCTCTTTTTAAATCCACCAAGTCAAATGAAATTTTTCTAGATGGTATACATGTTATAAAGCGAGCACGGAATATCGTGGCTAATTGGGAGAAAGAACGAATGGATCTTGTTTTGAGTGTTTGATACCACTCTTGGGCTACTCCTTTTAGGGTAGTTAGAAAAACCTTACACATTAAATCTTCCGAATTAGCCTGCAGATACATCATAGTTCAAAAGGTCCCCAAATGGCTTCGGAGATTGGTACATCCGTCATAGGATTGGAAAGTAGGGAGTTTAAACTTTGGTGGAGAAACTACGACTAAGATATCAGTTGATAATGGTGAGTCTTGTCAGAAACCATAATCTCCTATCCTGAACCAGCTTCTTAACAACATTTCAGAAATTAGTTTCGTCCAAGATCGGCTAGGTGTGACTCAGCTCTTGGCAATGGGGGATCCAGCTTCGATTCTGCTTGATAGTATCGATCAAATATTAAGTGACTTCGATGTCTAGGTGAAGTTGGAGGGAAGCTATGTTCTGGGCGAGGAGGGTTTGCTGGCCTAGGAAGTAGTATTGGCTTGCCATTAGGCTGAGGGTTCTCCAAGAGGCATTTCAGCACGATAGGAAATTGCGAATAAGCCTAAGCTACTGTGGCTGCAACCTGAGGATCAGTATTTAATGAAGGAACGAATGTGGGTTGTTGGTTGGCCTCGCCATGAGTGTTGTCTTGGCCTTCAATGGTAGGATGCTCAGTGGGATCGATGGCCATGGGAATCAAGAAGAAACTATGGTGATTTCTAGGATTGAAGGTGCGTTTCAGGCTCATCGCACCAATTGTTAAACTCTGAGAATTTGAGGTGTAGTAAATTATGAATTAATTCCTCAATGGGATAATTTTTTAGTACATATACTGGACTTAGGACAATTGTACTAGGATAAGGATTATGAATCCTCTACTATATGTTAATTTGAATTTATTTAAGAGTCTAATATCATTATTAATATTATTTATTATTGTATCTTAACAACTAATGATCGGTCATGTCATATAGGCTTGAGTTGGACATCCAATTGCTTCGATTTGAATTATCCAAATAGTTTTTTTTATTAACGTAATGCTAAATTGACCAAAATAATATTATAGAAAAAAAAAAAAAAAACATTTCTTCTCTTTTTATGATTAATATCAAATTAATGAAAACACTCATAAACAAGAAGATTCGAACTTGAAATATATATTATACTCATCACACTTTCAAAGGAAGTAAGAATATCAAATTAAAAATTAATTAGACCAGAATTTATTAATAAATTTTATCTTAAATTAGATTAGAGTAATAAATTTTATAGTAAATATTCAACTCCAAATTCTTATGGAGATGTTTTGTTATTTATTAAGAAGAAACAATCCCAGAGTCTTTCTGATTTTGATATAGGATTGTTTTCACATAGTATAAAATTTCTATTTTAGAGTTATTTTTATTTTGATGCGAAACGACGATGGGATAGCTTTTGCGTAAAATTAGTTTAAGAGATGCAAAGCTAGTTTAATTTATTTTCAGAAGAGAATATAATGGACAAACTATTTTATTTACTATAAATAGTAAGTATTGTGTATGAAATAATTTGGGCGTAATTAATTTAGGATTACACGTTTGTGAGTGCTTTAAGTATAAAATAATAAGGGTGATTAATATTAATACAAGAAGTGTGAAAAATAAAATTAATTTTAATCCCATAATTTAAAAAGATAGAAAAAATAAGTAAGTGGTGTGCAGTCCAAATATACAGTGGCATGTAGATTTGGCATTTTATAAACTACTTGAAATTTTCTATTTTTAGAAAGAATCTTGAACCTCAGACTAAAAATATTTGAAGCCCTTTGGTCTTTCTTAAATAAAACAGCCTGCAAATGCGGAGTGGGGAACAGGAAGTGACGCATGGGTGAGTTGCAATGTTAGTATAAAGTAACGGCGAAAATGAAAAGGAAAAATAGTTTTTCAAAAAAGGAAAAAAAAAAAAAACATTAAGTTATAATATGCTTGCTAATTGTATCATTTTTATTAATAAATGAAATAAATAATTATATTAAAATTAATTTGAAAATGGTTTATCACAATCATAACAATAATTTAAAGCTCAATATAGTATCATAATTTAGAATATCCATTTATTATTCCAAAATAGATATAGATTGAATAGGAATAAATAAAAAACATAGACAACAACAATACATTGTGGGTCTGATTAGCAAAATTAGTTATTTTAGTAGTGTTTAGATGTTTAGGGTTAAAAACTGAACGTTATATGAGTAACTTTTTATAAAATATTACCTTAACCTCTAAAAGTTAATTCAAACGCTTTGTTATCGAATACTATAAAAAATAATATGTAAAATTTTGACTTGTCAAAATGTTAAAAGTTACTCCAAAAATTAAGGCGCAACACTGTGGTAAGACGAAGGCCAAGGGACTTAGAAAAATTTTGGGCTTCCCAAATTCCATTTAATTTATAAAATGGTGTAATTTTTTAATTAGCTCATTAATTTTTGAAAATTTTTTTTTCGGTCTCCTTAATTTTGCATTCAGACATTGCCCTTAAAATTATTACGATTGGTGTGTGAAAGAAATTAGAGAGAAAGCAATGTGAACACTCTATTACGTACCAAATTTTGATTGATGATTAAAAAAGAAAGAAAAAAAAATCACTATTTTTGGAAAAGTGAATTTACAATAGCCAAAAAGAAGAAAAATAAAAAAATAAAAAGAAGGCAAAAAAAAAGAAGAACATTCCCCTTTAAAGGAATAGGTTGAAGGAACCTATAGCTTTCACCAGGCATTAATGTCATTCCTGAATAGTGTATGTATTTGATATTAAGCTCATCATTCACGTTCCTTTTTACACCAATGCAAAAGTGAAACCTAAGCTCAGGACTAAAATTTCCAAGCTAAAAATAGAAAATTACAAAAAAGAAAAAGTAAAACGACAGCGTTTTACATGGTTTTGGAATTTTTTGTTTGTATCATTCATTATCCAATGTATGAGGCTGATAAGGAGTGTACAGAGAATATGTTCACCCACAGGTGAGACATGACGTGGATGGGTTTATGACAGAGTTGTTGTTCAGTTCATCACAAAACCAAAATAAATCCAAATGGGAAAACCATAGAACTGTAGATTCAGATTGGAAAAACAAAAAGGAAACCCAAACAGGAAAAAGAAAAAGGAGAGACCGGGAAAATTAAAAGAAAGAAAGCGAAATGTGAGAAAGAAAGAAGAGAAAATTAAATTAAATTCAGTAGCAGCAAGCAAGCAAGCATTTCCACCTCCCTCTAGTGATGGCGTGGTTTGCTTTTGCTTTTTTCTCTCGACAGGAATCTTTGAAATTTGAAAGCATCCTTTCCAGCTTAATTAACTTATTTTTTTTTAAAATAAAAATCAAAGGAAAAAAAAAACATTATCATCAGAGAAAAATATTATCCAAATAAATATAATTAATAAAAAAGGCTAACGCATCTTATAACAGTTTTTAACTTTACTTTTAACGTTTTGACAAGGTCAAAACATTATTTTTACGATTTACACCATTCTTGCAGCGAAACATTTATATCAATGTTTATAATTATATAAATTGGATTGAAGTATATTACTTATTGTTTGATATATGGATTAATTTATTTTCATAGGCATTAAAATTTTTTGAAAAAAGAAGAACTATGATTTATTACCCAAAATAGGAAACGATTAAGATACCCCAGGCTAGTTTAAGCAAACCTTATTCCAAATAAAATAGAACGGATTCCCTATTGTCAAACAGGCTGGGCTTAATTAGAGTGAAGATATAGATAGGGTAGTAGGCCCAAAACGGTCCTTTCAAAGAGCGAGTGCCCCAAGACGGAGAAGAGAAGGCAAAGCAAAGGAAAAAGAAAGCAGAAACCGAAAAGAAAAAAAAAAAGCTTAGTAGACAGAAAAAAGAGAGACAGGGTCCAGTCCAGAAGTAGGGAGTGTTTGTGTGGGGCAATGTAATTCTACGCGGAGATTTTCTTTTTTCTCTTTTTGTTTCCTTTTCTTTAATTTTCCCGTTGCTTCCATCATTTTTTTTTCTCTCTCACTCCCTTCACTTTCTCTCGCTTTCTCACTGTCCGTTGGAACCAAACAGTTCTCTCTCTCTAAACTATCGCGCATTTGCTTTTGCTTCTCTCTCACACTTGCTGAAAATAATATGAGCAAACTGCGCATTACATTTCACCACCGGTTATGAATCCCACCACCGAACCATCACAACTTCAGCCGCCACAACCGCCACAGCCCCACCGTCCTTCCACCTCTTGTGACCGTCATCCCGACGAGCATTTTACTGGCTTTTGCCCCTCATGCCTCTGCGAGCGCCTCGCCGTGCTCGATCATTCTTCAAACTCCGCTTCTTCTTCTTCCCGGAAACCACCCATCCCTACTACCAGCACCGCCACCGCTGCTCTTAAAGCCATTTTTAAGCCTTCTGGTGGGAGCGGTACTTCTAAGCCTTCGTTTTTCCCCGAGCTCCGCCGCACCAAGTCGTTTTCCGCCTCTAAAAACGAGGGATTCTCTGGTGTTTTTGAGCCGCAGAGAAAATCCTGCGACGTTAGGGTTCGTAGCACTCTTTGGTCACTTTTTTATCAAGACGACGAGCGAAACCCTTCTAAAAGGGAGTCGTTTAAAGGTCCTGAGATTGAAGTTGAGTCCAGAATTTCTTCTTCCAGTGTAAAGAACGACACAGTTTTTGAGTCTAAAGAAGAAGACGAAATCGAATCCGACAGTGATAATGAGAGGGGAACTGAGAGCGGAGACATTATCAGGGTTTTAGACGAGCCCATTTTAACTGCAAGGAACTCCAACGCAAACCCAATTGAAGAAATTATTGAAGAAGAGGAACCGGAATCAGAAGCCATTGTTATAGAGCCAGAGCAACTGCAAGAGGAGGAGCTAAAGCCCATGAAAGACCACATAGATCTCGATTCGCAAACGAAGAAACCTTCAGGAAGAGATTTTAAAGAAATTGCAGGTAGTTTCTGGTCTGCTGCTTCAGTTTTCAGCAAGAAGCTGCAGAAATGGAGGCAAAAACAGAAGCTGAAAAAACGAAGGAATGGTGGGCCAGGGTCGGCCACATTGCCGGTGGAGAAGCCGATTGGGCGTCAATACAGAGAAACCCAGTCGGAAATTGCGGATTACGGGTTCGGTAGAAGATCTTGCGACACGGATCCGAGATTCTCGCTCGATGCAGGAAGGATATCGTTTGATGATCCTCGTTATTCTTTCGACGAGCCCCGTGCTTCGTGGGACGGGTATTTGATTGGAAGAACATTTCCAAGAATGCCTACTATGGTTTCTGTTGTTGAAGATGCTCCTGTTAATATGGTTTTAAGGTCTGATACTCAAATCCCAGTTGAAGAACCACCGCAGCCAATGCCTATGAATTCAATCCATGAAGATGAAACTGTTCCTGGTGGCTCTGCTCAAACCAGAGACTATTATTCTGATTCTTCTTCTAGGAGGAGAAGAAGTCTTGACAGGTCTAGTTCTATTAGGAAGACTGCTGCGGCTGTTGTTGCTGAGATCGATGAGCTAAAATCTTCTTCTGCTTCTGTTTCTAATGCAAAAGTGTCACCAGCAACTGTTGACTACTTTCAAGGACCTAAATTGGTTGTTCCGGATAGGGATTCCAACTCCAATTCTAATTCTTTAAGAGATGATTGCTCTGAGACTTTTGAAATGGGCTTTAGAGATAATGCCTCTGTGGTGGCGAATGGTGAAAGGAAAGGGGCTAAGAAGTCGCGTAGATGGGGCAAGGCATGGAACATTTTGGGGTTTATACACCGGCGAAATGTGAACAAAGATGAAGATGAAGATAGGTATAGCAGAGCAAATGGAGTTGAAAGGTCATTTTCAGAGTCTTGGCAAGAATTGAGAGGGGAACGTGATGGTGAGGTGAGAGGGGGTTTTAATCCAAAGATTTTGAGGAGCAATAGCAGTGTTAGTTGGAGAAATTCAAATGGTTTTGGCTTTAGTGGTGGTGGTGTTGGTGGTGGATCATTTGGTAGTGCAAGAAAGAGCAATGTTGAAACTAATGGGAATGGAAGAAAGAAAAGAGAAGAGTTTGTGTTGGAGAGGAATAGAAGTGCAAGGTATTCGCCAAATAACATCGATAATGGACTGTTAAGGTTCTACTTGACACCGCTGAGGAGTAGCCGGAGAGGTGGCTGGGGAAAGAGTAAGTCCAGTCATGCACAATCCATTGCAAGGAGTGTATTGCGATTGTACTGAATTCCAAACAAAGTCCATAAGGTGTTTCTTTGGTTTAATGTTGTTAATTTTGATGCTGCATTTGTTGTGTAAGCACACATGCCTAATGTATTATTCTTCATGAGTTGGTTGGTTGGTTGGATTAAAAAAAAAAAAACAAAAAAACAAACAAAAACAGAAGCATCCTTAAATTTGTTGCCTTTCCTGTGAGTTGCATTTCTTCTTCTCAAATTATTCAAATAACAAGATTTTTTCTTGTGTTATTATTTTCTTTCCTTGTTTGCCAACTATACTGTTGTTTAATGGTTAAATATTTTTTTAAAAAAGTTTTTGCCTTTATTGTTAATTTTATTATTCTTTCTTTTTTTTCTTTCTTTCTTTTGTTTACCAGAACTGGGTAGGGAGGACATGAGAGAATATGTTTGTGGTTTGTCTATGGTTTCAGTTGAGTGTTTTATTGTATATTTTTCATTCTTGTCCTACATAGAATTTCCCTGATAGCCTATAAGGGGGTCAAGGCTGCAGCCTGCATGCTTTTCTCTCTTACCCTCTAAAATGTTTTTTGTCATATTACATATTCTTTTGGGACAAAAAAGAGTGATGATGTGAATTTATGTCCCCTTTGTTATTGGTCCCAAAATTAATGGGCATAAGACAGTAATGTATTTACTGCCTTTTCCTTTTTAAGTGTCAATTAATGGAGGTTTTTCTTTCGGAGTTCATTTGGTGGTTCTTTTTTGTTTTTGGTTCATTGGTTTTTTTTTTTTTTTTTTTTTTTTTTTTTTTCTTTTGGTTAAATGGATAATTGGGAGATCATATTAAGAAGGAGCCTGGATTAATCAGGGTAATTGCCAGAAGAGGAAATTTGGTAGCCCATAGAGGAAACCTGCATTTAATAGGACAGGCAAGTTTTTGGTTTCTGATATAAGCTTGCTTGAACAGAAAGGTTTTTTTTTTTTTTTTTTTTTTTTTTGGTTAAATGGATAATTGGAGATCATATTAAGGAAGGAGCCTGGTTAATCAGGTAATTGCAGAAGAGGAATTTGGTAGCCATAGAGAAACCTGCATTTAATAGACAGCAAGTTTTTGTTTCTGATATAAGCTGCTGAACAGAAAAGGACAGATTATGGTTCAATAAGCTTACTCGTGTAGAACATGGAAGATGCCCCTGTACAGTGTTTTTAGTTCATAATGATTAGTTACTGTCTGTCATTACTCTGAAGTCTGTTCTTGTGTGCTTGGATGAAGAAATCTCAAATAGTATTTTGCTCGCTCACTTGTTCTTTTGTGTTTTTTTTTTTATGTGAAAAAAGGAACTTTTATCTTTTCAAAATCAAATTGATTCCTTGCTGAGGATCTATATTTCTGCCCTCAAAATGCTATGGGAAAAGGAGTGATTTTACATTTTTCCTGGGGCTTTATGCACTCCGTTTAAATTTAACAGGAACAAAAGGATTACAGGTAAATAGGTAATTAACAAAAAGATGAGTAAAACTTCTCCTTTTTCAATACAAATGAGTGTTAAGTTCAAACTACATTTGCAAACATGCCTTCCGGTCCATTGGATGTCTCTTCTAATACTCAGAAGAGATTTAAGACAAAATGAATTGAAGTTGACTGTACAAATTCTCTTTCGTCAATTTTACTTTTAGATTGATTTGAGTGGTAAATCTATGAATAATTGATAATTAAAAGTCTAAATATGCTATTTCAAGGGAAGAAGAAAACTTTTTAATACCAAGATTTCGTGTGAAAGAAAAAAAAAAAAACAAATGGGATCCAAAATGTTGAGAAGGGAAAATAAAGTAATTGTGATTAGAAGAGTAATTGTGAGTAGGGCTCAAATCCCATTATAAAAAACAGAAATCAAGCTAAGTAATGATTAATTCATATGGAAATGAAATGAAAGAATATTAATTTTGCAATTTAGATAATCAAAGGAAAGGAATCTAACTAATGAGTTGGAGATGATGCTTTGTGCTTTTCTCTACATATGCAAAAGCTCCATGATCAACGAAATTTGCCTCCAAAGTCAAAAAGTCACCAGGAAAAACATCCCAACATGCTTCTTCATGGAGAGAGAGAGAGATAAACAAAGAAAGAAAGAAAGAAAGAAAAGAGAGGCAAAAGAAAAAGAAAAAGAAAAAAATAAAGGAAGAGGCTCGCAACCCAATAAGTGCCCGGTTGCTCTTGCTCCCATTAGCCCTCGATGGTAATAATTTTGTTTAAGCTAATTGCCTACCTTATTTATTTGTCAACGGTTGTGTTGTGTGCTACTCTACAGTACACTATATTGCCTGCCTAACATTTCATTTTTTTTATTTCAACATGTTTGATGTTTTTTAGTTTCATTTAAAAATAGTTTTGATTGAAAGTTTAGTATTTTTGAAATGTTTGAATTTAAATTTTAGTTTTAGATTTCAATATGAATTGCAAATTCTCTCTATCTTGCACTTTCCCCTCATTCAATATTCTGTTTTAGGAAATTATTTCAAGATTTTAATTAATTATGTTTATAATTAGAGAATCTTTTAAGTCTTTTTCAAATAAATAAAATTAATATCGTTGTTAATTGTTAATTATTAAATTTTTTAGGAGAATAATTATATTAATTAAGAAATTATTTATTTTTTTATTAAAAATTTATATTGTAATGCAATGGACGGATAGAAGATTAATTAATTACATATGATGAATATTTTAACTATAAATTACATTGATGTTGTGTATGTAAGTAACCTCATTAACTCATTGTACTTCATAAATATTTTCTTCGTGGATTTGCACTGAAAATTTTAAATTATTTATAGTAAATCATCAAGCTTTAAAGTTTAAATTGAAAGTAATCCTACAATTCTTTAGTTGTTCATTTTGTTGTTTATAATTAATTAAGATTTCAAATTGTTTTTAAATATTTGGAGAAAAAAAAATCCGAACTTGGATATATTCTCAAGTTATATATGCACTTGAATTTGAAGCTTTTAGAATTTAAATAAAATTATTATTCAAAAAATTATAATAACCACATATAAATATTTTATATGTTAAAACCAAAAACCCTAAAAGTTTCTAATTTTAGATGCATAATAGGACTTTTATGAAATTTAGGATACTATAAAGTTTTTCAATATTAAGTATGAGGGATGAAATTATGTATATGATCCAAAATTTATTATGGTGATGTTTGGTTTGGGATAAGTAGACTAGAAAAGTGTAATTTTTCCGAAAGTGCATAAAATATTTGTATTTGATTTGTGCAATAAATTTACCAATTTGTTTTATTATCTAATCACATTTACATTTATATTATAGACATTATTGTCTTTTGTAATTTGAGAGTAATTTACTTTCACAAAGTTAATTAATATATCAAATAAATTCAAATTATACTTCCTAAAAAAATATTTATTTAAAAGTTTATAATTTCCAGAAAATATACTCCGGAAAATACACCACTTTGAACTAAATGAGTCGTATATCATATGATTGTTTTTAATTCATAGAATGTGCAACGGGGTCAACTGCGACCCAACTATTTGTGGAGGGCATATCCGGAGTACAAACCCCATAGAAAGCCCTTCAAGTATTGGGCTTACTGAAAGCCCATAAACACTTTCGAATTTGGGTAGTCCCGTGGATGAATGAATCGAAATAGGACATTTGTATTATTTTGAAAATGAAATGAAAATGAAATGTTCTTTTTGTAATTTTTTTTTTTTGCATTTGCTAATTTGAAATAATGTAAAAATTATCTAGGCTAATTTAATTTTTAATATTACTATGTTAAATAACCAAACAATGATAATAAGTCTTTGGTCTAACAATAAGACCAAAGCTGAGGCTTAGAAGGGTTTTAATTATCGTTTATATTGAATTTGAATAATATTAAATTAATATTAAGATTGTTCAGATCAGGTTGCATTGGAATCTGATTTAAACAATTTAGTCTTAAATAAATAAAAATTTATTCAAATAGTTAATTGATATTTGAATGTTTTGATTGGGATTACTGAATCGGATTGTATTGAAATTCAATTTGAATAGTCATAATTGATTTTAACAGTGTTCAAATCGGATTGAATCGGAACCTAATTTGAATACTTAATTGATATTTGAAATGCCTCGTTTGGGACTTTTAAAATGGGATTGGGTTAGAATTGACTTTTCCTTTTTTTTTGTTTTTTTTTTTGGGGTAGAAAAGACGATAACAGCTTGAAATACAGAATCTAGAGTAAGCTACTCGTGTAGCATCATGAGAAATCCAGGTCAATAAGCCTGACGGACAAACATCCAGATCATGAACATCCAACAAAACAAAACTAGCTAACCAATCTGTACATATGTTGGCTTTCTTATAAACATGAGAAACAAGAACAAAACCAAAATCCTTAAAAGCATGCTTCACAGTGAATTGAATTTCAATAATCATAATTGATATGTCGACGTCAAAATGAATGTTCATTTTTGACCTAGTTATGGGCTTTGTTGGTGGCAAGTGGTAACACCTTGTCTTTCATGGGTTCGTAGCAAAATTCAAGCCTATCTCGAGAATTAATGGGCCGAACCATGTCGGTTCAGATGTTAATTTACAGGCCCAGTGTTAGGTAGTATTTCCAAGGACAGAACTTCGTTTTAAAACCCAACCGTTGCCGCCAGCTATAGCGTCTGAAAAATATTGCTCCGCCAGAGGAACTTGCCATGAAAAAATGAGACACACAAACTCTGAGAATTACCTTGCCTGCCACTGCCATGGCCAAGCTCCCCGTGCCCCTCTCCTGGAAGCGACTGCTCACGCTTCTCAAAGCCGAGAAGGATTCCCTGTCCGCACTCTCCCTGTTCGATTCCGCGACCCGACATCCGGGTTACACCCACTCTACCCACGTATTCGAACATATCCTTCGTCGACTCATCGATTCAAGACTCGTCGTCCACGTATCTCGGATCGTTGAACTCATAAAAACGCAGAAATGCCAATGCACAGAAGATGTTGCTTTAATAGTTATCAAAGCTTATACAAAGAACAAAATGGTAGATAAAGCTTTAGATACTTTTCAACAAATGGAGGATATTTTTGGTTGTAAGCCTGGAATAAGGTCGTATAATTCTTTGTTAAATGCTTTTATTGAGTTCAATCAGTGGGATAAGGCCGAGTCTTTTTTCGCTTATTTTGAAACCATGGGTATATTGCCAAATTTGCAGACTTATAATATTTTGCTTAAGATTTCGTGTAGAAAGAAGCAATTTAACAAGGCGAAACAGTTGTTGGATTGTATGTGGGGAGGAGATTTTAAGCCTGACGTGTATAGTTATGCTACTGTCATTAGTGGGATGGTGAAAGGTGGGGATTTGTCATTTGCGTTGGAGGTGTTTGATGAAATGTTTGAAAGACGAGTGATACCTGATGTAAGGTGTTATAATATAATGATTGATGGTTTTTTAAAGAAAACGAATTATCATAAGGCTAAAGAAATTTGGAAGAGGTTATTGGAGGCGCCTTCGGTTTATCCAAATATAGTTACTTATAACATTATGATAAGTGGGCTGTGCAAGTGTGGGAGGTTTGATGAGAGTTTGGAAATGTGGGAAAGAATGAAAAAGAATGAACGTGAAAAGGATATGTTTACATACAGTAGTTTGATACACGGGTTATGTAAAGTAGGGAACATTGACGGGGCTGTAAGAGTTTATAAAGAGATGGTTGAAAGTGGTGTAGTTATTGATGTTGTTACTTATAATGCAATGCTTGATGGGTTTTGTAAAGCAGGGAAGATTAAGGAGAGTTTTGAATTGTGGGCGGTGATGGATAAGGAAAATTGTCAGAATATTGTTAGTTATAACATATTGATCAAAGGGTTGTTTGAGAATGGAAAGGTGGAAGAAGCAATTTTCATTTGGGAAATATTATGTAAGAATGATGGTGGATCTGATTCCACGACTTATGGTGTTCTAATTAATGGTTTGTGCAAGAATGGACGTGTAAATAAGGCTTTGAAGATATTGAAAGAGGCTGAAGATGGATGTGCTGAGTTGGATGCTTTTGCATATTCTTCAGTGGTTGATGGTTTGTGCAAAGACAGGAGACTAGATGAAGCAATCAACATGGTGTTTCGGATGGAAAAACATGGCTATAAGCTGGATCCTTATGTTTGCAATCCACTGCTTTTTGGATTTGTTGGAGCTTCCAAACTCGGGGAGGCAATAAGCTTTTTGAGGGAAATGGAGCGTCAGGGTTGCTCTCCTACTATTGTCTCTTATAACACACTTATAAATGGTTTATGCAAAGCAGAAAGATTCGGTGAGGCATATTCTTTTGTTAAGGAGATGCTAGAGAAAGAGTTGAAGCCAGATGTAATCACATGTAGCTTGTTGCTGGATGGCCTTTGTCAAGTAAAGAAGATTGACATGGCCCTCAACTTGTGGCAACAAGCTCTTGAAAAAGGTATTAAGCCTGATGTGACCATGCACAATATTCTGATGCATGGGCTTTGCTCTGCAGGCAAAATTGAAGATGCTTTGCAGCTTTATTCAACTATGAAGCGATCAAACTGTGTTCCCAATCTTGTCACTCACAATACCCTCATGGAGGGGCTGTATAAAGCCAGTGACTGTGAAAAGGCATTACAGATTTGGCAAAGTATTTTAGATGCTGGCCTACGGCCAGATATTATCTCATATAATATCACTCTTAAGGGACTTTGCTCTTGCAATAGAATAACAGATGCCATCAGCTTTTTAAATGATGCTTTGAATCGGGGAATAGTTCCTACTGCTATTACATGGAATATCCTTGTCAGAGCTGCAGTTAATTGTGGGACTTCTTGATTTGTTAGAGTTTAAAATACCAGGAAGTAAGTATTTTTTTTGTCGAATTCTGTGTCTTTCCTTTTCCTCAGTTGATTATAGTGACAAATGAAGCTAAATTCTTATGATGCACTTTTCAGCTTATATTGGATAATTTATTTAATTCTTTGTTGACAATATTTTTTTTAGGTCCTGCAACTCCTAGTGAGGAGATGCTAAGCTACCATGAAGTCCTGGATTCAAGTAAATGGACTCTCTTATGGGATCACTCTGAATGGACGAGAAATAAAAGAAAGAAGAAGGGCATTTCAATCCAAGAGACGCATCAGCAGTTGAAGGCAAAGAAAGAGGAAGAGAAAGAAGTGGGAATATCCGGAATCAGCAGTTAGTTGAATTCCCGGTACAAGAGTTCTCGTATCTGATCAACCAGTAACCGGTGTGGGAGTATGAGAGGAACAAGAGTTTTCTCGTATCTGATTTCATACCAGTACCGTGTGGGGTATGAGAAATAAGTGTTGGTGCAGTGCAATAGAAGCTCTAGACGCTCTTTGGTCTCGCTCAAACGCATCCGCTGTGTAGAATGAAAATTCCACCGGTTGCTTTGTTTGCCATTAAATGCGCTGTTGGGACATCGAGGAAGAAGCATATCTGGAATTTCTCTTTTTTTTACGATTCCCGTTAGGCCGGAGTTGGGGTCTCGTTCGCTAGGTCTTTACCGGTTTCGAAGATACACTATCAGTCAATGGAAGGTGGGCTTAACAGAAAAAGCTTGCGGTTTTGAAGGCAAAGAAAGAGGAAGAGAAAGAAGTGGGAATATCCGGAATCAGCAGTTAGTTGAATTCCCGGTACAAGAGTTCTCGTATCTGATCAACCAGTAACCGGTGTGGGAGTATGAGAATAAGCTGTTGGTGCAGGTGCAATAGAAGCTCTAGACGCTCTTGGTCTCCTCAACGCATCCGCTGTTGTTAGAATGAAATTCCCCGGTGCTTTGTTTGCCATTAAATGCGCTGTGGGACATCGAGGAAGAGCATCTGGGAATTTCTCTTTTTTTTTTACGACTGCCCGTAGCCGGAGTTGGTCTCGTCGCTAGGTCTTTAACCGGTTCGGAAGATACACTATCAGTCAATGAAGTGGGCTTAAACAGAAAGTTGGGTATTGTATTGAGATGCTTGCTTGGCCGGAACCCCAACTACTACGTTGGGAGAATTGAAAAATAAATTAAGACTATCCAAAGAAGGATCGGATCTTTTAAAGAACTATATTGGGGAACAGGAAACTCCTGGTTCAGGAGCGGGGTCAACCAAGCGCCAGGTAGGGTGTCCAATATTTAATTTGAGGTGATATTTCCAGGAGATATGAACAAATATAGACTGCTTATTTTTGTTTCTGAAGGATCCTCTTGTTGCAAACATTATTTCCTTATATTGCAAATCCTTGCAGGCATTCACATCCTGAGTACCACCTCGGAGCTTAATTTGGCATATGGTGAGTATTCTCCATTCTGATTATCAAGTTGCACCAGAATCTTGTTGTTTACTTGATCAGCTCATTCCGGGCCCATAAGTTTTGTTAGTTTATTTTGATAGAAAGGCTTTTATGAAAAGATGGTCTAGGATGTAAAAAACTAGGTGTATATGGATTTTGGGATGCTTTTACTGACACATTTTTGTGATACTCCACTACAAAACCATTACCATTGAACTGGTCTGTAACAATTGGCCTATAAGCCTCGCAAATAAGATGAATAACTGTCATGTTCATGTTATCTGCCAGTGAGATTTATTTAGAATGACAATTCAGTTCTTGAAGTCCAGTCCTGAAGTTTGTGATCATCAGTTACACCTCGATTATGCTTTTCCTCTTTAGTTTGGCCAGTTGAACTGTAGCAACAGATTTCCATTTTGTATATGATGTCAACAATACAAGCCATGAAACAAAAGCATTCTGTTATATGCATAATGAAATAAAAGGCTACGCTTTTTCTTTGTTTCTGTGTACAGTGACAGGGATAAGTTCATAAAGCATCAAGCCTAGTAACTAACTTAGTTACATGGTTCTTGGTGATTTAAGTAATATTGCCAAGATCAAAGTGAATGATGCAAAAGAAAACTGCTTGATGTATCAAATCCAAGTTGCAAGTTTTCACTTGGGGCTATTGAATCTTGCTATATTCATTGAGAATTGTTATGACTTAAGGATTGTACAGCATAATTTCATTGAATTAGATGGCTTAAGTGACTTATTTCTTTTCCTTGTCTGTCTTCTCCATACTTTCAATCTCTGATGACAATCTCTGCTCATAGCTCAACTGAGTGATCAAACCCACTAAAATTGCTCCAAGAACTGCAACTTTTCGCCAATCTGGTGAAGAAGAAATGAAGGAATCAGCAATAACAATGACTAGCACCCCAATCAAAGCAAGGTAAATATTCTTTCTAGCTTTGGACCCAGCTTTTGTTTTAATAAGCTCTTTAATCCTCTCTGCTTCCACTTTAGCCTTGGCTTTATCAACAGGCGGTTTCTGCCCTAAATTCTTAAAGAACATTCCCTCATTCCTGTCTTTAACAATTTGACCTTCAAAATCTGCTATCTTATTTTCGTTCTTCTCAATTTCTTGTTTGTTCAACTCTGCAGATTCTTCAAAAGCTTGCATCTGGCTTTCTATATTCTCCATTATCTGCTAATGAAAAAAATAATGAATAAGTGGGTTCAGGAGATAATTCCCTAGCAAGACTTTTTTTTTTTTTTTTCCATTTTTGTTTTTTAAATTTTCCCTATGTATGGCATTGAGAATAAAGGAATTGAATTGGACAGACCCTGGTACCAGCTTCATCGAGTCCTTTAAGAGCATCTTCTCCAATTTTATCGAACTCGGCATTGGCTTCTTCAGCAAATTGAGTCAGATAAGCTGATCTTTCATCTAGGTAATCAGTGAGACGAACTTTTTGAGCTTGAAGCATAGCTATTCTTGCAAGTAGCTCTTGCTTACGAGTATCACCTTCAGGAGGTGGAGACGCCTCTGAATCAGAATTAGAATCACTGGAGTTGCAAAGGTATAATATTGAATTCTTTTGGTTAATTGGTCTTCTTGTACGGAAAAGGGTATGCTTTGTAGGTGAAAAAGAGGTGTTGATGGCTTTGAGCGCCATCATCTTCTTCTTTCCCTTACAGAAGTGGGAGAGAGGGGGTTGGATTTTGAACCTTTCGTTTGGTGGATATTATTGTGGAGTGTGGCCAATCTTTACACTGACATGTTATTATGGATTTTTGAAATGGGCTGGGCCGTAAAATCATACGAAGTATGGGCTTTAAGTGCGTAAAACAGTGTCTAAAGTTCGGACTATGATATCAATTCACCTCCTGAATTTTGAATCAAATTTAGTTGAACATCTAGCTCAGGTTTAAGCTTGATTTGCTAATTTCTAGAATGAGTTTCAGCATTTCACAAGTTCAACTGCCTAGTAAAAATTCAATAATTTAGGTAGTATTTTTATTTAACAATTCATTTTTATCTAAACATTGTGCATTAGAATAATTATTTATATGAAATAACAAAACATTATTTTGAAGAATGTCCTTACAAGAAAAATTATGTTAACACTAAACCGAGCTTAAAGTGTTTTAAGATTGTTCATTGAAATATATAAATCGAGCTTAGTTTATAAAATTATTAGGGGAAGCCAATTTAAATTTTTACAAATTTTAGAGGGGGCCAAATATAATTTTCAACATTTCGAGAGATCAAAATGCGATTTTTTAAAAAAGAAATTTCTGGGGTCGGGGCCCCTTAGATCTCTCTATACAGCTCCACCACTGGCTCTAATCATCTATGAATATCATAAACTTAAAGAAGAACATTAAAGTTTGCATTACACATAAAAATTCCTTAACATGTCCAAGAATATTTACAAGCACCTAAGATATAATAAACAGAAATATCCGCTAAAAATAAATGACTAAGAATGTCTCAATGAGCGCGCCCACTAGCCTTCTTGTAGGTATACCATTTTGCAATCCAAAGATAGACAAAGAAGTTCAAGACGCTGAGAATGGCTAAGAGCCAGTAGAAGTAATCGAGATGGCCCCTGTTCAAGTTGTCTGGAATCCAGCCAAGCTTACCATGCCTCGCAGTAACTTTGGTCACTATAGTAACCAAAAGAGTACTCAAATAATTTCCTACAGCAACCGTTGTAAGTGAGAGAGCTGAGCATAGACTTCTCATAGCATCAGGTGCCTGGTCATAGAAAAACTCCAATTGTCCGATGAAAGTAAAAACTTCTGCACATCCAATAAGAAAGTACTGCGGAACTTGCCAGAAGATTGACATTGGAATATACTCAAGATCGTAGTAGTTGTGCGTTTGGACATATTGAAGCCGAATAACCTCTAATACTCCAGCAACAATCATTGCGAAAATGGATATAACAAGGCCAATGCCCATACGTTGGAGCTGAGTGAAGCCTCTTTCATTGCCTGTGAATTTTCTTGCATATGGGACGATGAATCGGTCATATACTGGAGCCCAAAAAATGACACTAAGGGTGTCAAAGAGCGAGAGGGATGCTGATGGAATCTTGAATTTTGGACCCATATGTTGGTCCATGGTGTTTCCTTGTAAAACAAACATGGTGCTCATTTGACTATATACTGTGGAAAAGACAATTCCACTTGCCCATACTGGAAGCAGTCTAATAATTGCCTTGAGCTCTTCAACTTGAGTTACTGTGCATAGTCTCCATGGGTCTGGTGTGCTCTTGAGGCTGTCAGATTGGGTCTCCACAGCTGCCTTGTCAAAGAACCTGAAATTTGCTAGTTTTGATGAGATCAAAATTAGAAAGCGAACCCTTATTCACTCAATTCCAGAACATTTCCCAGCGATCATCAGATATTGCATTGCAACAGAAGAAAATACTAAAAGAAACTAAAATATGAGACATGTAGGGTATCCAATGATAATTAATTAATAACCAATTTCCGGAACATACCCTTGATAACTAATTGATAAAAAATTTGCTTTAATGAACCTGTAGTTTCAATATATGCTTCAGAATACTTACTTGAGCTTGTCTGTGTGCTCAAGTTTGCGACTTCCTTGGATATGACTTTCTTCATCCGTAGTCTCATAAAGAAGAGACTTGTCAACAGGAACTTTAACATGCAATTTTCTGAAGGATGCAACTATAACTTGAAAAATCCTGGTAAGAGGACTTCCTCCAGGTTTTTGAATTCGGTATAACTTGCTTCCTGAGAAGAAAAACACAACTGCAATGGCCATTGCAACTGTTGGGATCCCAAATCCCCACCCCCAGCCAACATTCATTTGTATCCAGACCAAAACAGAAGAGGCAACAAGGGCACCAATATTGATTGTGAAGTAAAACCAATTGAAAAAAGAGCTCTTCTTTTCCTTTTCAATATCATCAGTTTCATCAAATTGATCAGCACCAAAGGATGAGACACATGGCTTGATTCCACCAGTCCCTAGAGCAATTAAATAAAGTGCAACAAAGCATACTGCACTTTGTGTTCCTGTTGGGTGGCAAGAATCTTTATCACATGATGGCTTTAGTCCAGGGAGAGAAGCAGAAAATGTTAAGAGTGCCATCCCCTACAAGAAAAGTGTGTATTATATTCGCATTTGGCATGTTCTGCAACCTCATGATCTAAGCGGAAAAAGAATCGATAGCCTGGTTTTAATGCTGTCACATTATTTCTATAAACTGACACTAAACCTTGTGAAAACGAAACAAAGCAGAAACTTTTTCTTTTACAAAATTTGCCAAAAAAAAAAATTATTGTAATATTAATGGTATTCATCAGCCTGGCATTCTTTGTATAATTTGTCCAGAAAAGGAACAAAGCTTTGTCAAAATTTTTGCCCAAAAATTTTATTATTACTTCTTCAATATGCTTTTTCAATGCAATCTTCTGTGTTATGCCTCTAATAATGTTAAGTTAAAACCTTTTTCCATTGAAGTTTTTATGGACTTTTTAGAATGGCTGAGAGAAAAGCATAAACAAAAAAGTTGATACTCAAGACATTGATTAAAATTTATGTGAATTTGGATTTAATATTCTATAGGTAAGAAATTGGTTGAAGTAAACTTACAAGGATATAGATGATAACAAAACTGGCAATTGTCCAATATCTTCCCAAGTATGCATCAGCTAGAAAGGCTCCGATCAGTGGTGTAATGTAGCAAGTTCCTGACCAATTAGTCACATTGTTTGATGCAGCAACATTTCCTTGGTTGAGACGTTCCTGAAGATAGTTGACTAGATTGGTACTCATTCCATAGTATGCCAACCTCTCACAGCATTCATTCCCTGCAACGAAATTTCAGGGTTGACATGGATTATGACAAACAAAATTGTGCCATCTTATGACGCTCGTGAAAGAAAAATTGAAAAAGTAGCATTTCATTTTGCAGTTAGCTAAAGACAAGTCGATTGAATGTCATACCAAGAATAAATCGGCATGCTTTCCAGTTTCCAGTTTTCTTTTTATTAGCAGGTTTTCCTTTTATATTCACTGTCCCATCCTTCGTGAACAGGTCGTCTTCTGCCATAATTTCCTCAAAGATTTGCTAATGGTTCACCTACAAAAGGAATCATAAACTCAAACTTAGAAAGTCAGTCTGCCACAATCATTAACACATCCATGTTGAATCATAACCATCATAACAAGATTTCAGTTGTTACAAGATTCTATTCCTCTGTCTTCCAAAACAGAGAATAATAACACATTATCTGCAAATTTTATTTGCAGTAAGCATGTAATCATAAGCCTTAAGTGTGTGCAATATAACATACTTCTTAGGAAACATTATGCTTTGCAAATAAACTAGTTCAATATTTCAGTTATAACCCTGTGCATACACACACACAAACATAATGAAGAATCTGATCATAAGAATTGGAGTTTGTAACTAATTCACTTGGCACCACTAAAGCATCATAAAGGTAAAAATAAAAAGTTGTCACTCTCTGGGTGTGGTTGAGGGTTAATGACTACTTCTAATTGCATCAAATATATTTGGTAACTATATTACTTATTTCAATTAGGAAACATGAGTACTTACTTATGTGGACACAACTTGCAGCCAGCTGGAAAAAATGTATCTAAATGGAAAACAGAAAAACGACATACTTGCGAAAAAAAATGAAATCAATAGTGAATCAAACAATAGCTGGAGTCCATACGGTTTGCCCTCTAAGTACTTCAGTTTTCTATTTTATACATTTAAAGGATAAAGGATTTCTTCAGATGAGTAGAAATTTAAACTTTAACACCTAGTCCAAGTCACCATAGCAACTTTATATGATTCTGGCATTAAATACTAGGGCCGGCAAAAATTGAATCAAATAATGAAAGAAGATGAAACGATTTTTACCATAAAGTAATAAACCTAAAGAAGAACTTCCTTTTACTTCTTTAAGGGGGCAAAGATGTCAATGGACCACAACTTTTGAAATGAACAGCGTTGGTTTTATCCACAGCAAACATCAAATTACAATTTTTTTAAAAAAATTTATTCATTGACTTTTTTTGTATTATATTTAAAAAGTCAGCAAAAAGACTGACCACAGTTTGGTTCCAAACTCTACTAAACCAAACTGGTCAAAACTATAAAATAATTTTTTTATGTTTTATTACAATTTTTTTCAATAGATCTCTTTATTTTTGTTTTCATTATTATTACCACTACTACGTTTTTTCAGTCATGCTAAAGAGTAACAAATTCTAGAAAAAATTTTAAAAAAATAAAATTACAAAAGTTCCAAACCAGACCAAAGGGCACCAGAAGTTAAGAGCATTTCAGTTTCGAATCGACACTTAGAACCGCAACTGGTGATTTCAAAGCCAAAACCAGAGGTTCCGCGGACTGTAAGACTCAGATAGTAAGAATCCAAAATAATCTTATCTGCTAGAAGGCACCGATATAAAAATGTTCATTATCAAACAATACAAAATTTTGCCATATGTGCGAGTATTGTCTCGTAGTACAGGCAATGGCCACGAAAAGCTCACAACTTAAATTCAACAGTCCATACTTTTTAAGCTTTCCGAAAATTAAAAATACAAATGTACCATGGATTATATACTCTAGAAACTAAATACCAAACCAAAAAAATTGCTTCAACAATAACGCATTCAATTGAATCATTTATGCCAAAATCAAATCAGAATTCAATTCAAAACCACAAATCATATTCGTTTAACCGAACGAAATGATATACAAAATCAAATTTAAAATTAGAAACGAAAGAAGAGTTTTAACACTCATTGTCAGGAATCAGGATCGAGACAGAATCATAATATAATAGCTCTAATTAAAACTGGAAATCAAATAAACAAAAAAACTCGTTGAAGAAACAGAAACAAATCGGATTGAATTACAGAGAACAAGAAGAAATGCTAAAAAAAACCTGCTGTTGGAGGAGGGAGAGAGAGAGATTCTGAATCCTGAAGAAGAGTGTTTTGGGGTTGGTAACGGTGGCAGTAAAGGGAGTGTAGGTGGTGGTGCATATAAGTAATAGAATATGTAGAAAGAAAGGAAATGAATGCGAGCCAAAAAAGGAGACGAAGTCCGCTTCCTACTCCTGCACGACTCTACAAAAGAGAGCGAAAAAAAAAAACTAGAAAAGAAATAAAAAGTAAATGGACAGATGAGATACGAATACAGTCTTTTTCGTAGGTAAGTACTTAACGAGACTGTTGGGATTTTGGCATTTTGCAATTGTACCCCTCTACTTTTTTGTATTTTGTTTTTGTGCAGTTTGATGTTTGTATACTTTTTTCTCTCTCTGTTTCATTAAAAATTACATTTTCACAAGTAACGTGTTGATTAAGCTAATAAATAATTTCAAGCTATGTGGGGTGATAATATAAATTTAATTTAGAAAGTGTAATTGTTAAGAAGACTAAAAGCTTTTATGCTCTATGGCCTCAAAGGAATTAATCTTACAAGTTACTTTCAAAAAAAAAATTCATAATCTCAAATAATATAAGAATTGAGAAAATTATTAAGCACATCAATTTTAGAAAAAAATAGCAGCGATATACTAAATTACCCTTAATTAATACTTAGAGAAGATATTAAAGTTGAAAAAAAATATTAATATTTTCTCAATGTTCGCCAACAAAGAATTGGTTGACAAAATGTTTTAGCTCCCTTAAGAAAGAGATGAGTGTTTAATCTTTATAAATAAAGAAAATATATGCTAAAAGCACTTTCCTTTATGCGAGTAAATTAATAATTAATATTATTAAAAATATTAATTATTTTACTAGTTAATATTTGCTAATTTAATTTTAAGTCAGTAATTTTCTTTTGCTAAGTGCTAGGAAAGATTTACTTCTGGCTAATGGTGTATATATGGTCCATATATCAAACCAATTAAGACATTTTCATCTAAATTTGAACAGCTAAATACATAAATTCACTTATCTATTTTAAAATTTTAACATTCTGGCACCATGAACTTTGTGAATGATCTATGGTGCACTTGAACTTGCAATTTTTGATAATATCGTACACCTTTGTATATTTATAGCAGTAGTTTTTAGGATTTTTAACTTTTATATACAATATTTATTTGATGTGTAGTTAACAGAACTTTATCAATAATAATTTTTGTATTTTTCAACTACGTAATAGGTATTTAATTAATCTAATTTTGTGAGTTGAAATGTCAATAAAATAATTCTGCAAGTTAACATGTTTAATATTTGTAATTTTATAAATTAAAATATTTAATTGGTCAAAATAAAAATTAAATGTGTCACAAAATTAAAATAACAAAATTCAGGGACGAATTTATGTATTCAGCTAAATTCAAACTCTGTCAAATAAGAAATTTTAACATAGTAAAACCTAATTTATCATTTCATTAATGATATTTTACTTAATTGGTTAAATATCATTATATTCCAGCAAAAGTTGCAATAAAAAATGACAGATAAAGAACAGCTGTCCTGTGTCTTTTAAAGGAAAGTGGTAGAGAGGATATGGTAGAAGAGAAAATAGCAGAGTATTTATTTCTCCAAGGGAAAACATAGCAAACTTCTCAAAATGGTACCTTCCTCCTTATATTATAAAGGCAATTGAAAGCTTGCAAAGCACATACTTTTTTTTTTTATCAGCATAAAGATTAAATTTTATTAACCCCAATTATACGATTTATTATAAAATCACTTTAAATCGAACTTTGTATTTTGAGTAATGCCGTTTTAAAATTTAAATATATTTACACTCTAATTTAATCTTTAAGCCATAAAAATGGCTAAAATAATATTTAATTTGAACCATTTACCTTCGATAGCTTCAACCCAAGAATCCAAAACTCACGGTTTTGGTACCTTTCCCTTAACCCAAAAACCCTCTTGAAGCTCTCCATAGCAGCTCTTTATCTTCCATATTATGCAAGAGATAGTCAATATGAGGTGTCGTTGGATTTTGAAATAAGGCCGGTAGGACTTACTATTTCATTTTCAGGTGCAATACTAGTTGTGGCTTGATTTGAAATTGATAAGAAAATATAGTTATTATTATTATTATTATTATTAGTAGTAGTAGTAGTAGTATATTATTATTATTATTAAGCTGACTTTAATTCAATATTCGGTTTGTTCATTAAATTTAACACTTCTTTATTCTTTTCATTTTATTTATCACTTCAAAAAATAAAGTAAATATTAATTATTCTTTTTCAATTTTACCTGTAACTTTTAGTATCTCCATTGAATTATGGTAATTTACTTATTCAATTTTTTTCTAAAATTGAAATAGTAAATTGAATCATTTTCTTAATTATTTTGTTAAAATTGAAAAAAAAGTTCTTTTTGATATTTGGTATATTAAATTATTACATCAATAATAAGTTTGGAGTGATTGCTAAAGATTCAATTGCATGATTAATGTTTGCTTCCACGCCTCCTTTTGTTTTATAGCATAGTTTCAGAGTTGGAATCTTATATTAGCTTCTCTTCTATTATTAACCAAACATATAAAAACAACAAATCAAGTCAAAAGAATCAAAATCTTTAATTCACAATTAAAACTTAATTAATTAAATCCATTAAATAAATGACAAATAAGTCAATATATAGTTATTTACATATAATTTTTTTTAAACAAGTATTTAATAAAATTTGGAATCTTCTTCCAAATAGTATCTCAGATGTTCTTGTTTTAGATTTATGAATAAAGTTCCTTTCCTTCTAAAAAAAATAAAATAAAAATAAAAAAAGGTCGTTGCTTATGTCATCAATTTATCATATGATTCAATTGAGAACAATTTATAAAAGTAATGGAGTATATCATATTATAGATCCAACATAATCTAAATGGGTCCATTTTTGGTGCTATATCTCAATCCACTAATTATGTCTTGAAAGCGATAGCTTAATATTCTGAAACTAAATGATTGAAGTCCCATTTAAATTTTAATAATAGAAGAATCATAAAAGAGTTTTATGCTCAGTGTCTGTGTCTCAACCATAGTTATATTTATGGCTTCGTTCGGCAATAATTTTTTTCATAGTTTTTAATATTTTGACCGATTAAAATGTCAAATGTTATTTTTTTTGGTGTTTAATAATATATTATTTGAATTATCTTTTAAAGATTAAAGTAACGTTTTATAAAAAATTAATTTGTATAATATTAATTTTTAGCGTTTTATGAAAAGCTACTAAAACAAATAATGGTTATCAAAATAAGTAATTTTATCCAACAACTTATCTCTTAACAGAGAGAGGAGAGATAATTAATTATTATCATCATTCCATTTCCCTTAATTTATTTATATATATATAAATATAAGACATATTTCAGAGTTGGAAATCTTATATTTAGCTTGTCTATGATTACTATTTATATATACACAAAACAAATATAAAAACAACAAAACTTCAAGTCAAAAGCAATTCAAAATCTTTAATTCACTCAATTAACACTTAATTTAATATGAAATCCATTAAAATAATGACAAAATAAGGTATCATATTAGTATCTACATATGAATTTTTTGAAACAAGATATTTTAATAATGAAATTTGGAATCTTCTGTTCCCAGGTAATAGTATCTCAAGATGTTCCTTGTTTGTTAGATGTTACTGAAATTAAGCTTCCATTTCCTTATCCTAAAAACAACTGAATTAGATAAAAATTAAAAATTAAGGCGTTGTTTATGTCATCCAAAGGTTTATTCATATGATTCAATTATGAGAACAATTTATTATCACAGCTCAATTGGCGAGTTATATCACATATTATCAGCATCCACACCATCTAATCCTAAACTGGCATGTCGCTATTTTCTGAGTGCCCCTATATCTCATCTCAGTAATTATGTCTTGAAAGCCGATAGCTTTAGATCATTTCTAAACTAAATGACTTGACAGTCCATTGAAAATTTTCAAATAATAGATAGAATCATAAAGAGATTTTTATGCTCAGTGTCTTGTTCTGGTTCTCACATAGTTTTATATTTATGGCTTTTTTTTCGTTTTCCGGCCTCATAATTTCTCTTCCATCCAGCCTTTTCTTAAATTCTTTCTTTGACGATTGAAAATGTAAAATGTTTATGTGTTTTTGTGGTGTTTTAATAATAGTTTTATGTTGATTATTTATTCTTTTTTAAAGATATTAAAGTAACGGTGTATTTAACAAAATTAATTTTGTATTAATTATTAATTTTTTAGCGTTTTATGAAAAAGTTTACTAAACAATTAATGGTTATCAGTAATTAAGTAATTTTATCAACAAATTTCTCTTAACAGAAGAGAGGAGAGATTAATTATGTTATTATCATCATTCGCATTTCCCTTAATTTATTATAGTATTATTATAAAGTATATAATTATAAATTGATTATCTCAACTTAAGAAATGAAATAATCCACAATTAGACTGTGTTTTGATGGAAAAGTTTTAAATCATTTTTGGGTCATTAATTGATTTGACAAAACTAATTGAAAAGAAACACCTAGTATTCATCATTGAATATTGCAAATAATAAAAGGAAGCCTTTTAGGTTGGTTGACTTAACTGCGATTGATTAATTAGGTTTATTATTTTATATTGTAATTGATTAAAATTTTCATTCTTATAAAACTTAATATATATATATAAATATATATATATAATTGATACAACTAAGAAAAGAAAAATCCACAATTGACTTTTTGATGGAAAGTTTTAAATCATTTTGGGTCATTAATTGATTTGACACAACTATGAAAAGAACAACCTTAGTTTCATCATTTGATATTGCAAATAAAGGAAGCCTTGGTTGGTTGACTTAACTGATGATTAAAATAGGTTTATTATTTTAATGTAATTGATTAAAATTTCATTCTTTAAATTAAATTACAAAAATTATTTTTTATTAGTCCACATTTTATTGGAAAAATTTAGATACCTTAACGTTTATATTGACTTACTAAATCTTTCTGACTTGTAAAATTATATTTATTATTTAACTATTTAATTCATAAATTTGTACTTTTTAAATACTTATAGAATAAAAATATTATTTAATGATTTCTATTAAAAGAAGCATGATATACTACACTTATTGAACAAACATCCGATGATTAAAATAAAAGTATAAAATTATATTCAATAAATGTGATTTTATAAATTGAAATATTTAATAGATGTAATTTTATTAATTGAATAATTTAATTAGCCAAATTAAAAAACGGTGGCTATCATTAAATTTTTCTTGTCACAATTAGGATTAGTTTTTGTATTGAGACATTTTTATTCTTCCAAGTCCAAAAAAAGTAAATTTAATAATAGATTAAGAAAACTCTCTCTTCTCATATTAAGAAATTAATTGTATATAGAAAGTTTTCTAAAATCCATAGAAAATTTTAGAGGCTAAAAATAATGAGCATTTTATGAAATTCATTTACATTAAATAACTTTTTTTTTTAATATTAATATAGCTTATTAATCAAAGAAAGCCAATAAAAACTTTTAACTCAGAATATTCAAAATAAAACCTCAAACACAAAAACTTCTAAATATTATATAAAGATTGAAAGAACATAATTACAATGTAATACGAAAAACAAAAAACAATGAATTGAAAATTTATTTCACTACATACCATTATTGTCTTTCAAAACCTAAATAGTTTTCTTATAAGTATAAGACCTGGCAACCAAAAGGTAAACCCCAAAATTAACCAAGCTCAAACCACCCAAAAGCCAAAAAAAATAATTCAGATGCCCATAATTCAAATTATCAGGAATCCAACCCTCCTTACCACCTCTTGTACTGAAATCTGTCACAGCATTCACCAAAAATGTACTCAAGTAATTCCCAAGAGCAGCAGTAGTGAGTGATAAAGCAGAGCAAAGACTTCTCATAGCATCAGGCCCCTGTTCATAGAAAAACTCCAATTGCCCAACAAAAGTAAAAACCTCTGCGCATCCAATAATAAAATACTGAGGAACCTGCCAAAATACAGACATTGGAATATGCTTAAGCTCGTAGTAATTATATTTCCTGACTTGGTGAAGCCTGGCCATTTCCAGGGTTCCTGCCACTGCCATTGAAAAAATAGATATGACTAGCCCAATTGCTATTCTTTGAAGTTGGGTGAACCCATTTTTTTGTTTTGTGAATTTTCTTGCTATTGGTACGATCATACGGTCATAAATTGGAACCCAGAAGATTACGCTAACGGTGTCGAAGAGGGAGAGAGAGGCAGAAGGGATTTGGAATGAAGAAGTGATTTGGAGATCCATAGTGTTGCCTTGGAGAACAAATAAGGTTCCCATTTGAGTATATACTGCAGAGAAAATTATTCCTGTTGCCCATATTGGAAGTAATCTAATTATGGATTTTAGTTCTTCTACTTGTGTTACTGTGCATAGTCTCCATGGGTGTATTGAGCCTTTTACTCTGTCTGATTCTGTTTCTACTGCTGCCTTGTCAAAGAAACTGTCAAGACATTGAAGATAAAACATGTTGTTATATGTCTCCAATTACGAAATTATTATCATACTAAGGGATGCACATTCAGTTGGTTTGAATTGAACCCAATTAGTACAAACTATAAATAATTTTTTTTGTTTTTGTAAGTAAACTGAATTGAATTTTCTATAGAACCAAACTGAGCTGAACTGAATCAAATCAACATGATTTAGTTCGTTTTGATTTTTCAATTTGAACTTTTTTATTGGATTAAATCCATTTTATTTTATGGTTTTAGAAACTAAATCAAAATGAAATTTTTTTGATTTTTTAATGTTAAAATCAAAATCAAACCAAATAGGAAGAAGTAGCTCAAATCGAAAAATAGAATTTATTAGCTCCCTAGAATGAAAGGAAGAATATATATTTTTTAATGTTTAAATATCAAGAATCAAACCAAATAGGAAGAGACGATTAGTAGCTTCGAAATTCTGAAAAAAATAGAATTTTTTAGCTACGCTAGAATGAAGAAGGAATAATATAGATTATAGTATATTAATCATTTAGTATATTATGATTTCCTTCCCTTTCTTGTAGGGCAGATGTCTGTTTAATTCATAAAACCAACATCAAATGGATAGAACCAAAAAATATTCATATTTCATTTTTTCTTAAACAATCGAAACAAAACTATTGCATCCGAAACCAAAATCAAATTCCGTCAGGTTTGTATTATTTCTTACAATAATATCCAATAAAAATTCAAAACGCTCGATAGTTATCTAGGACATTCCCGATCAAAACCTAATTTAACGTGAATAACTAAATATAGTTCTGGGTTTGTAACCGAAGTTTTCTTGACCCCGATAATATACTATATCACCTCCCAATATACGTCCTAAAAAAAAAAAAAAAAACATAAAAAAAAAATATCTATACTTTAGCTCGATTTACTTTAGCTTTAAACACTGATTAATTGTAGAAATTGTTATACAATATAGTTGTTTTTGTGTGTGAAGCTTCCTGTCCTATTGACAGCCTTAGATTCTCGATACAGACGTCTCAAACTAAAAGATGAAGACTAACATTCATTACAGGAACTATTAAAAAAAAAAAAAACAAAAAAAAAAAATCCTAACATTAGCTGTTATTAGCTTTAAAACTGATTAATTGTAGAAACTATACCTTAGTTGTTTTGTGTGGTGAAGCTTCCTGCTTCCTTTGACAGCAGATTCCTCATCAGACGTCTCAAACAAAAGAGACTCATCATCAGGAACTTGTACTCTAAATTTCCTCAAGGAAGCAACAATCACTTGGCATGTACGCGTCAAAGGACTCCCTCCAGGTTTCAGGTTTCTATAAAACTTAGTCCCAGAAAAAAAACTCATAACAGCAATTGCCATAGCCACAGCTGGGATACCAAAACCCCACCCCCACCCAACGTTCGTTTGTATCCAAACAAGAATAGAAGAAGCAATAAGAGCGCCAATATTAATTGAAAAATAAAACCAATTAAAGAAAGAACTCTTTTGTTTCTTCTCTGTTTCATCAGAATCATCAAATTGATCTGCACCAAAAGAAGAGACACAAGGCTTAATCCCTCCTGTCCCTAATGCTATAAGGTATAGTCCTAAGAAGAATACTGAAGTTTCTGTTCCTGTCGGATGACAAACATTGCTATGGTTGCAGGATGGTTTTAGTCCTTTAACTGATGCTGATAATGTTAACAATGTCATCCCCTGCAATAAAAATTCAAGTCATTTTCAGGACTACTAAGATCGTGTTCGGCAACAGCTTTTTGGGTAGTTTGTAGCGTTTTAACTATTTTTTATACTGTTCGGTAATATGTCGTTTGAATTAACTTTTTGGAGGTTAAGTTGGTATTTTTATAAAGGTTCAGCTTTTAGCATTTTATGAAAAACTGTTCAAACAGATATTAGCTAGTCAAACAATTTAAAAGACTACTAAAATAACTAAAAACTATTGAAAGACAGCTAATTTTGCTGAACAAACTTTAAATTGGAATTAAAGCCTTCATTGAGCTTAATTTACAAAAAGAAAAGAAAGAAAGAAATTTGTGGCTTTAAGGAAACTTACAAGAACATAAATGATGGAGAAACTTGCAATTGTCCAATATCTTCCCAAGTAGGCATCAGCTAAAAAAGCACCAAGCAATGGCATGACATAGCAAGTGCCAGACCAATTTGTGACATTGTTGATAGCCTCAACACTGCTTTGGTTCAATTGGAATTTCAGATAGTTAACTAAATTTGTGTTTATCCCATAGTATGCCAATCTTTCACAACATTCATTTCCTGCAATTCCAGAAATGTAATTAATTAAGTAGATAAGCATATCAAGAATCCAATTAACATAATTTAATCAATTTCTTTAATGCAAAGTCACCAAGAATACAAGGGCAAGCTTTCCATGTTCCTGTTTTTTTCTTGTCTGCAGGATTGCCATGAAAATCAATTGTACCATCTCTTGTGTAGATGTCTTGTTCTGCCATTGACTTTAATATTTTTGGTTCATCTCTTTTACAACTTTGTTTCACCAAGAGACAGATTCTTTGCATATAAAGCATATATTTGACATTTTTAATTTCTTACTGGTTTAATTTTTGGCACACAAATCAACCTTCAATTATGTTGTTGACATATTGTCATTTTCTATAGGTTGAGGTTATGGAACTGATGAGAGATGTATCAATGCCATTAATTCAAATTACATGAGGAGCTCTCGAACCCATGAAATGGTTCTTTAATGCCATTGGCACACTTTCTAAGGAAATAATATGAGTTACCGCGCTTTCCTTACATAATACTCCATCTATTTCAAAATATAATTCATTTATTATACAAATATTAAGGAAGCAATTAATAAATTCAATGGTAATTTGACCAAATTATTCTTTATTTCAAAATCAATAGTTATTTGTGAAAATATTTATTGTAACTAATCTAAACAAGGGTAACATTGGAAAAATGTCATTTATTACTCCTTAAAATACTCAAAATAATTTATATTTTGAGACAAAATAATCACCCAAAAACGATTTTTATTTTGAGACAGAGGAGTAACCAGCTTATTATCCATTTGATTTTATATTTTGGCATGTAATTCATTACTGTATCATTTGGAGTTTAGTATAATTACAAGTTAAAAGAAATTTATAACGAAAAACAGGTGAAAAATATGAAATTGTGAAATAGAAAATATGCAGAGGCTATTGCATAGTTCTTACTTTGTGGGTACCTATAGTTGAACTTTGACTATACTTGCATAAGTAATGGGCTTCTGCTACAACCACTTTTCAGGCTTCCCCGAGTTGGGTTGGGATGGTAAAATTTATTTCTTTTGATTTACAAATAAATTTTCCCCTAAATGCACACAAATTTGAGTTTGAAATGAATTTTCAATCTGTAAAAATCCATTAAAATAGGTATGTGTATTAATTGAATGGGTTTGAAATGAATATAAGTATTTAATCTATAGTTCCCCATAAATTTGAGTTAAGTGTGAGTTTAAAACTATGAACATCTACTATCCGCTTTTGTTATACAAATTTAAAAATATTATAAATAGATAATCAAATTTTAAAATCTTATAGAAAGAATAGTGAGTATTAAAATCCACCCCATACATGATCAATTCCATCCCTAGTACTAAAAATATAAATGGGTGTCAATTAAGTATGGTATGTTCACCACAAGTGTCTACACCAATTTGGTGAGTCTAAGTGTAGCCCGTACGGGTATTAAAATTTTAAATGAATTTGAGTCTGTTTTTTACTAAACAAACTTTGTGGTATTTCAAACTTAACAAGTAACCTATTATGACTATGAAGTTACGAATTTTAATTGTATTGTACCTTTCTCTATACTAGCAATAACAGTTTTATTATGCTTTTAGCAATAATAATAATTTTCACATTTTCAACTATTTAATAGAATTTTAATTGTATTGTACCTTTCTCTATACTAGCAATAACAGTTTTATTATGCTTTTAGCAATAATAATAATTTTCACATTTTCAACTATTTAATAAGTGTTTAATTGATATAATTTTATAAGTTTGAGCGTTCAGCAAAATAATTTTTGCAAATTGAAGAATTTTAAAAGGTTCAATTTTTATAATTTGAAGTGTTCAATAGATCAACATAAAAATTGAGGGTGCTATAAGATTTTTGACGTAAAGTATGAGAGTGAATTTATGCATTGAGCCATATATTAATACAAATGCTTTTTGGGTCGTCTTAGACCTTTCGATTGGCTTTTATCTCCAAAAAATATCGAGCATGTTCCCGGAAATTTAAAGTAGGTGAAAATTCTCTCAATTTTTGGCCCACCATGCGATCTGTTATATAAATAGGTAAATGTCCATTTCCATTATGGATAGCAATAGTATGGCCGATCATTGTGGGTATAATGGTAGATGCATGTGACCACGTTGCTATTATTTCTTTTTCTGCTTTTGTGTTAAGCTTTTTTATTTTTTTTTAATAAATGATTTGCTACAAAATGGTTTTTTTTTTTTAGTGAACGTGTCACAGTTAATTTCTCCTTTTTTTTATGATTTGCTACAAAATGGTTTTTTTTTTTTAGTGAACGTGTCACAGTTAATTTCTCCTTTTTTTTTTTTTGTTTTTTGAAAAGACAAAGAAAAAAATTCTATTTTTTCTTTGGCAAACCAGTGAGCGGCGCCAAATTTTTCTGAAAGGGGTTTTCTATTTGATTGTATCGAAAGGCCCAATGAATTGAGATTTCCCTATTGGGCCAGGTCATCTCGGGCGGGATCGCGACCCTTTGTCCCAGCCATTGTAGCACGTGTGCCATCTAGGGCATAAAGGGCATGATAACTTGATTTGGTCATAATGTGTCTCCTCTCATAATGTTAGTACTTCATATAGATTCGAAAGGTAGTTCCTATGATACCTGTTCATATTTGGTTACCCATTCGACGTAAATTCTCCTGTTACGAAGTCTATAATATAATTCCTGCATTTCCCAACGAATAAAAAAATAAAATAGAAGAGAACTTCCCTTCTTAAAAATTTCCTTGTATGAGAAAAATGAAACTTGATAATTTAATTTCCTATCATTTTTGAAGGAAAAAACAAATGTGGTGATCGACGTCATCGGTTGCTTTGCAATTTACTACAAAAAAAAAAGGAAAAAAAGAAAAAGGGAGTTTTGTCATGTTCCTTTCAACAATATGCTTCTGACGTACATAGATGTTTTGTAGGTACGAGCAGTAATCGGTTTTGATGGAAATATGTCACAATTGATTGTTGATTAAAGGTTAATACTCTTATAATTTGATTGATTTCGATATGATGTTTGTAATTATATTTCTATTGATTAATTATTGAAAAAGTCTCACGTGGTATATTACTAATTAATAGTAATTGATTACTATTAATTATCGTAAAGTGTATTTAGTAATTTACGATCTACCAAGGATGATTACTTATTAACAGATGTGGTAAATAAGTGCTGCTTCTAAACTTTAATATGGATTTAAATAAATTGTTTTTAATTATTCAAAATTCAATGTCAAATTTATATATTGAAATATTCTGTTATCTACAAATTATAAATGATGATATATATATATATCTAAAAATAAAAAAAATTATTGGCTAATTACTTTTTAAAAGAAAAAAATTTGCCACATCTTTTTAACAAAATCAAGAAATAAATTGAATCGAATTAAAATAAATTGATTCAATTTAATTCCTTCATTAACTTACAGTCTTTTTAATTTTTTATTTTAAAATTTAAATAATTGAATTTTGACTATACTCAAATCAAATCGACTGATGCTAATCCTTGCTGCAGGGCATCAACTTCAAATCTCCACATCATCGTACTAATCTATTTATTATTGCTTTTTTTTATCTAGTTAACTAATTAAAATTTGAAAAGAAAATAATTAAACCTGCTTTTTTTTTAAAAAAAATTTTTCTTGAGTTTTGAGGTGATCTAGCTATGTGGATAAGTGATGTTATCGAGTATCAGTTGAGTTCCCTAGCTATCAAGCATCAACCAAATTACGATAAGGTGATATAGACTCATTTTCTAAACAAGTTTGGGATAATTTTTATCTTTGAAGGTGAGTTAATTCAAATGGGGAAAAATGGTCCCATTTTTACCCACAATTTCCTCATTTTGTATGTGTTTAGAGACAGAGATTATGATTATGAGTGTAAAAGGGATAATTTTAAGGTTGATAAGCTGTCAATTAATTTGTTAGAAACCCAATTAAAATGGATAAATTTGGGAGTGGGATGTGAGTTGTTACTTACCCACCGTTGGTTTAATCTTTGCTTTCAAACAAAAAATAATATGCGTCCGAATGGGTTACTGTCTGATACATGACATGAAAACCATTTCTTAACCATTCATTCCCTTGGCATGTAAGCATTTCCATGTTCATGTACATGAGATTGAAGGGATGGACTTAAGTAGGTCCAAAATTCTCAATACATTTTAATTTTATAAAACAAAAAATTACTATACTGTTCCATCATATATTAGTTTTTTTTTTAAATATTTGTTTTTTTTATTGATTTACCTCTCTATCACGTAAAAATAAAAGAAAATTTAAACTCAATAACCGAGTTTAAACTTGTTAATGAGCCATGAGTTTTATTTTTATCTATAAATTGTAAGCGAGTTAAGTTTAAATTCGATTTTTCAAGCTTGAATAGAGTTCGAGCAAGGTTAAATTTAGTATACTTTTAATGCGTCAAATTCAAGCTCGACCCTTTTATTATTTTTAGTTTATAGTTATTACTCATTTAAAATAAAAATTTCTTTATCTTTCGAAACATATTATTTTAATTTTTTTTTAATTATATAGCATATTATTTAATTTTTTTTTAATTATATATATATATATATATATTATATATATATATATATATGAATTTTCCTAAATGTTTAGTAATATATATAAATATGGGACCCATTCACATCCTCACTTTGATATATGATTTTCCTAATGTTAGTATATATATAATATGGGACCCATTCACATCCTCACTTTGAAGCAATTGCAATACATTACTATTTAGTATGTTAACGTTTCAAACCTTACCAAACTCTACCTATTGTCTCTTGTCCAGCCATTTTCAAAGACCAATATCCACCTTCATGTACTGTAGTGCTTTTATTATTATTATTTTTTTTTCAATCAACTTAAATAGAATATGCTATTATGAAAAAGAAAGATATTAAAATCTCAGTCTCAAGGGTGGAATTATTATATTTATATGACAAAAGAAATTCAGTTACCGTAAAAATTAGAAAAATTAATAAAAAATTTAGATAAAAGACTAATTTTTTTTCTAAAATTCTCAAAAGGAAGAACAAAAATGGCTCAGAACTTATTTTTACTAGAAAAAACACTTAAGTTTTTATATCTACAATATCATGGATTTAATCCATGAAAAAAACACATTTCTGGAGAGGAACGATTATGAACCTCGAAATGAGATTAGTTTCATATTAAAAGAATTA